GGGAGGCAAAGTGTTGGTGTAAAACAATTAACATATAATTGTCATCCTGACCAGGTTGATGGTTATATCAATTCCCAAGCGAGTCAATAAAATCCATCTTTCCATCTACTTATATCAAATTAGTTTTTATTTAAGTGATGGATAAAGGTGTGTTTTCTCAAAGGTCCACAGTGGATGCTATTAATAAACATGTGTAAATAAGATCTACTGATGCAATAAGTTTTATTACAGTGAGTTTTATAACCATTTTTACCAACAGGAATGACATTTATTTTCCATGTGTCAAACATGAGAAATTATGATACTAAAATCAAATTATTTTGATTTTGCAAGACCTAAACATAGTGTCACACTATACATTTAAAGCAACAATATGCAAGGATATGTAACTTTTAGCCACTGGGGGTGCTAAAGTTTAGCATCCCTGAAAGCAACTGCTAAGAGGGTGTTTCAGAACCCGATAGCAGATCACTTTGGACCAGTAGTTTGAGAAGTCATCAAGTTAGTTTTATTGAGAAGGCCACATAAATCCCACATCAGAGAAATAAATATATATCTAAGGAGGTAAATATAATATTTGGTGCCTAAAAACAACTATTTGTTCAGTTTTGTTTAAGGGGAGCTCAGATTCCCGTGAAACAGCGCTCTAGGTTACACAACTCACACAAAAATACAACTGATTTTAAGTTACATAAGCTAGTTTATGAGAAGCAAAGACTGCAAGTTGCGGTACACATTAATCTGAAAAGCAATTTGATAAATCTTAATTTGAGCAAATATTTGGGTCAAAAGTTATGCAATGTTGCTTTAAAGCTACAGTGTGTAATAATTACAGGGATACACAGTCAGAAATGTAATATATTATACATAACTATGTTATTTATCATCATCTACGAGCTCAGCCTCTTAACCTTAATATTTGCGTTGCCTTAGAATTCGTTATTTATAATTACATAGGAGCGGGTCTCGCAGCCATGGAGGCAGACATCTTTGCGCTACGGCAGCGCAGAGCCAACAAACTAGCGATTGCGAGATCGCCCATTACGCTCGATATTTATTATCTTAAGTCTACATGAAATCTATACCCTACACAGACTAATGAAATACTATCTGTAAAATTATCTATGTAAACAAACCTCATCACTTGAGAAGGTAGGTGATGCGGACTTAATTACTCATCATAACTGTAGTATTATAAACAATGTTTGTTTATGTTATTGTTAATAAATGAATTCTTCTAGTAATCTTAAACAGATTTAAAGTAGAGTATGACTTTGAGCATTTTTACTGATAAATCTTTAATCAAGAAATTAGATTTTTTACTTTTGTCTGGATTAGAAATTATTATTTTAGAATAATTATTGAAATTATTAAGTGAAAAAAAGTTAGTTTTCCACTGAAGGTTATAAGAAGAATTGGGAACTAATCACTAAGATAAACAAGGACAAATTTTATTACTTCAAAAAATGAATATTAATTTAATAATGATCTACTAAATTGAATAAGTCCATTTACATATTTACAAAGACTAAAAAACAGCAAATGGCACTACATTTAAGGGTCTGTGACTTTAAAATTGAGATTTTCTGCAGAAGACATCATCCCAATTTAAAAACATTTACTGTGCTTACTGTTGAGATTTTTTTGGGTTTTCACTGCTTTACAGTTCTGCTTTCTAAAGGTTCCTATGTTATTGTCAGGTATTTCTATAGAGCAGAAAAATACTTAAGTAGGGATGTTTCCCACTTTTGTAATTCCTGTTGGTACAAAAAACAAATTTATAAAGAATCATAGAATTTTTGAAGAATAAGTATCCCCAGTTTTTTTTCTAAAATTCGACATCACGATCTGAAAGAAAAGCAGTTCCAAATTGTTGACTTTAAAAATGACAGTTCCCTCATGACTAGGACATTTGTATATAACCAGTTCAAACTTGTATGCCTTTCATATAACCCAAATAATATTTATAGCTAGAAAGAATTGCAACTATTCTAAAGATTTCTTGATATCTAAATAAACAAATTTTTATTAATTGTAAGAATTTTAAAGAATTAAGTATATTTGTCTTTAAGATTTGAACCAAGTCTAGATGAAAATGACAAGATCTAAACATTGTTTTATGCTGCCTTATTGTGTTTGGATACTTTGGAAAATAATTTTATAATCTGTCTTGAATGATCCTGTGAAAACAGTTTAATTATGAAGATAACTGCTTAATTTGAATATGAATATCAATATTATGCATTTTTTTCAGAGAAAGGACAATCTAATAATATCAGACATGATACTTTTTCCAGAGTTTATTCTGTAAAGTTATTCTTTTTATGCATTCTTTAAAAGTTACAGCATTAGTTAGCACTGACATTTTTTTTTTCTCAGTAAAATAGCTGCATAATCAATGACATACCCGTAACTTCTACGGTTTGAAAAGGAAGACGAGGGAGTTAGCAAAAATATACCCAGCATCTGAAAACTAGAACACCCAAGTCTCATGAGTCATGCAAAACATTATATTACAAATGCAGTTCTGTGTAAATAAATAATGTTATTCTGACATGGAAACATGAATTTAGCCAAACTCTCAGACATAAAGAGAACACTCTTTAAGAAATTGAAATAAATATAGAAACATGCTGTCAATCACGGAGAGTAGAGATGGGCTAATGAAGTTGGAAAACTGTCTGTATTCTGTCTGCAGCTACAATGTTCAAATTGGTATCCTGTCAATGGTAGTTTAAAATCTTTGAATTCCTTGATGTCTTAGCTGCAGGAGGCTTATGAATACTGTCCCAGACCTTGATATCCTTGCTTTCACTTTTAATATTGAAAAATTTCTTTACAGCATTATACTGCAAGAGCAATAAAATTTCAGTCTTTATTGTACTTTTCATACTGGACATGATTAATTTGCTCCGACTAAATGAAGAAACTTCACAAGCATCAATAAAAACAGACAAACATCAAAGAAAAAGGATAAAGCAAATAAATGCAATCAGAAAAACAAAGAAATTTATCGTCCAAAACAAGCACTAGAAGCATCGGGGTAATATAATTTCATGACAAATGTAGACAGCTGCGTAAAGTGAAGAGAATAAATCTGATCGAAAAGAGTAGCATTTACATTTTATTAGCATTTTATCCAATGTGTTGACTGCGAATGTGTTTTCCACAACCATAATGTGTCATAAGGAAAGAAAATTTTATACATGTTTATTTTCTATCCTCTCTCGAGGTGAAAACCAAATGCATTTTTTGTACTGAATTAATTCAGACCCACTGAGTGAGAAGGTAAACCCTCCACCCATTTTCCCTTTTCTCTTTTATCTTGGGAATTGCTTTTATTTATAGTCTGTGCAAATTATTGTTACAACACATGTTTCTTATTAAAAGGACAGATATGGATAATTTGCTCTATCTTGCTTTGAATATCACCAATGTCCATGTGGCTGCCAAATAGGGGGGGAGCAGCACTCATAACTATGCAGCTTTCCTCATCAGTACGCCTGCTGCGTTGCTGATAAGTGTTAGCAACAAGCAAATGCTGGCGATGCTGTGCTTCACTGCAGCACAAACTTGCTCTGCTTCTCATTGACGTCTTTGATGTCAAACTGTTGAATGTGATTGGAAGGTTGAGAAATGAATTGCACACACCTCTAGACTCCAAACTGTTAACTCAGAGGTGGTTAGAGTAGCCAGAAATACAACTAAATAGTAGAAGTAAAGCAAATCCTAATTATATCATTACATAATAATAAATTGAGGCAGTGTAGGTAATATTGGATCTTAACGAAGTGTATCCAAATGGCTCTGCGGGCATAGTAGATAGATAATTATAATAAAAAAATATGGATGAGTAGAAAGAGGAGAAACTTTAAGGTTGTCATTGTATGAAGCAAGTGTTTTAAATAGTATTTAGTGAAGGAATTATTGATGGGTATAGTAGCAAGAAAATATTACTCAACAAGAGAAACATTACTTGTGACTCGATGAAAGCAAAGAGTGCTGTAAATAAACAAAAAAACACTGCTCCTATAAGCAATATTTTTCCTAGAAGTTGCTCCATGGCTGAATTTAGCTACTTGCAAAAGTATTATTACTCACCTCTTGTTTTACTACAAATCCGGACAGAGTTTATAAAATGAAGAGTGTGTGAAAGGATTTACAGTGTTACACCACAAACGCAAGGCAAATATATTTTAGAGACTAAAAAAACGAAAACATGACCAGAATAATTAAAGCATGTTTTAAACTACATTATTACAACCTGCTTTATTTTATTTTCTTAGGCAAACTTACTTCCATTTTCAACTTTTTTAACCAGTGGATGAAAGCAAACATTATGGAACCCTTGATTAAGACATTGTGTAGAGCATGTCCAGACTGGTTTCAGTAAGGCAGGGGTTAGAGGATAAAGGTCAGAAAGAGATAAAAAATGAAACAGGTCTGCTTTGTCCAGCTGGGCCAGGTCTGGGGATTTGCTTCTTGTTATTTTTCCAGCACTGAAGGTTGACCACTGACAGGTCTCCGTAACAAGATGTTTGGAATAGAATAAAAAAAAAAGGTTCACCAGTGAAAGTAAAGAATTGTAGTAACTGCAGGAACTTCTAAAATTCAAACTTTTTCTGTTACTTTTAATCAGTTTCATTCTTTAGTGGGGGTTGCTTACATTGAGAGTGAAGCCTTTTCTTTTTCTTTTTATGAAACAAAAATTGATCTGTTGGAAAGAGCCCCTTAATGACATTATATATGCCTACGGTTTCCTCACTATAACCCTTCAGCGACCTAGTTAGGATTTTTATTTTATCTGTGATTGTATAGGTAGTACCAGCAGCTGTGCACTTCACTGAGAGAGTGAAGCAAATACTGATAATATATCTGAGCCTTTGGTGAACACACTGTTAGTGCTTTCATTGCATTGCATCATCCTATTAAAGAAAAAATGGCATTGTGATTCTTTGTGAGTGTGTTTGTTAGCCAGTAAGTATGCCATGTGCGCTTACGTAGTGCAATCTTGGCCAAGTGCAGTCGGTTGACCCAGGAGATCTTACTAAGGGGGTTGGGGGTGTTGAAGACCACCATGAAACTAACTGGACGGCCAGACCTACAAGAGAACACATGCACAGACAAAAACAGACAGAAGTCAAACTGTGAAGCATGCAAAAAAAGATTAAAATTTAAGTTAAAAAGGTTTACTGAAAATAAATACACATATACAAAGACGTTTGTTTGTGTGTATCATGCTTTTGCTGGGCATAATTGGTGTGCAATTTCTTCTTTGTCAATGTACTGTAGTTTATTTGGAAAAGAATTTTTCTAGGTTTGTTCTAGTTAGAGACAACTATGGTACTGGACTTGTTATGGATCTATAAACTGCCCCTAAAATGTTGTAGGTTTTGCATAATAAAAAATAGCAAATTCCTTGCAGGCCTTGGTTGAAAGGAGTTCAGATGTTAAAGCCACAGGAAGATTTTTTCGCTGTTGACTGTGGCAATTAAGACATGAGGACTATTTTTTTGTATGTTTGTTTGTTCTTTATTTTGCTATGGTCTCATAGAAGAAAACCCCTCTTGCATTTTTCAGTTATAAGAGGTTGTTAGAAAACAATAAGCATCGTAGGAACCGAGAAAGAAATCCAGATATATTGACAATAAAGTTGTTGAGAAGTGTAAGTAAAGTAAAAACAAAAAAAACAACATCAGAGGCTTCAAATGTCTAAAAGAGAACTGTCCACTTAACAAAAGGTGAGTGTGACCCAATTGCAAACCAACCAAGAGATGGTCCTTGAAACTGACCAGTCAACAAATTAATTATCAAGAGAAGCAACCAAAGAGAGGTCCACTGTAGTAATGGAAGACTGCAGAGATCCAAGCTCATGGGAAAACATCAACAGTAGAACTATTAGCCAAGTGCTCCACATATTTGGCCTTTTAGGAAGATTGGGAGGAAGAAAGTTATTCTTCAGAGAAAACAATAAAAAGCCCAATTTGCTACAGTAGTTGCGGTTTAAAATTCCCTTTTGGCCAAAAAAGCCGCTGGAGTGCCCCCCCTCCTGCTGGGAGTGTCAATGTTTACTGTAACTCCATCCATAGGCAATGCAAACTAACTGATGTCATAGTGGGGGATTATATTAACCCCACAGACCTGTGAGTTACCAACAAAAGACCTGCCAGGGACCAATCCTGGAACTTTTAAACCACTACTCTACCACTATATGGAATACAGGGGAATACTAGGATAACCTATTAAAACAGGTATCTTCAATCCTGTACCTTAGGTAGGGTTAGGTCAGGGTTAGGTCACCTTCAGCAGACCTACCCTGCTAGAATAACATGTTTTAAACTAAATTTGAGCTCTAGGTATACTTCATAAAAGATTGTTTCTGCTACCAAAAACAACAGCAAAAAAAAAACAAAAAAAAAACACAGACATAGACTTTATAGAATAAAAAGCAAAATGCAAGCGCAATGATGTCTGTAAAAAGAATCATTGACACAAGAAACCAGTGTTTTATTTCAGGGAAATTCAAGTTTAATACAACAAGATTTTATGTCAGAGGAGCTTTTCGCTTGTTGAAGAACTACAGCTTTATGCTTTCAGCCTCCACATAAATATTCAAAGCATGCTCTGATGATCACATAGCCCGGTCACAGTAAATCGCTTATAGGTGGGCACAAGCACTCAAAGAAGCAAAAAAAAAAAAAAAAAAAAAGCCACTAATGTGTGGGCTTTGCTGGCACAACCAGTGACAGGCTCTGATCAGTTACAGCCTTTTGGAGCCAAATCAAGCTTTGGCTCAGTTGGAGACCAGAGCTCAGATGTGTGAAAGAAAGAACAAAAGCAGAACTAAAGAATTTCAAAATGATAGACTCCAAAACCAATGAAGTCTTTGAAATGAACCTTGCCAAAGCACATTTACATACATTCACAATTGCATAAATGCGAATGTTTTACCTAGAAAGTCATTTTGCTCATATCTTTTTAATTAGGATTTTCTTCAACGGAAAAAAAAAAAAAATGTAATTGGAAGTCAATCCATTCCTGTCCCACTGTATGATCAATGAATGAATGTACAAACATTTACTTTGAAAGTGGGTCACATTGTGAAGGTCCTAAACTAAAACCAATTGCATTTCCAAAACCTTCAAAGATTGGAGATTGGGTTCTAATAAAAGATTCAGTGTTCTGTAATGCAATGTCAACATGTCATTGACCATGAAATTAAAAGCATCTACTGTTCTTGTATTGTTAGTGTGTAATTAAAGATAAAAAAGAATTGAAATGAGATGAATAACACATTTATGAAGACATTCTACATAATCTGTGTGAATAATGATAAACAAATTCCTTGTGGTCTTTCAAAACATGCTACAAAGAATTTAGGTACGGCTTGGAAGGTGCTACTGTATTTTAATGTATACAATGTAGAATAATTTAATTAGGGTGCCCTTCAAAATTGTCTGTGGAGAGCCTTTACTTTCCACAGGAAATTCTCAAAGGAATGAATTTCCCATCTCTTGTAAAATCTGGTCCAATACAAACCATTGTTGTTATATATATAAAATAGCATAACAGATTTTTAAAAGATAGGTTAAATATTTTGTTTTGATACTGCCAAAAAAGAAAAGAAAAAAAAAAACAAATACGGAAAACTGCAGGTTATGCTTACATGAATCTCACCAAGACACAAATCAATGACTTAAACCTCTGACTTCCCCCTAAACAGAGAGTAGGTGTAGGGTGTTCTTTGACACTCTATATTGAAGTCTAACTACCATGAGAAGAGAAGAGAAGAGAAGAGAAGAGAAGAGAAGAGAAGAGAAGAGAAGAGAAGAGAAGAGAAGAGAAGAGAAGAGAAGAGAAGAGAAGAGAAGAGAAGAGAAGAGAAGAGAAGAGAAGAGAAGAGAGCCTTTAATTCAAATGTAATGCATAACTGAGTAAGGTAGTGAAAGAAATATAGAAACCACTGTAAGCTTTATATATTTTTTTTTTACAAAAACAACAGACTATATAGAAAAAGACTGCTTATGAAAGCAGCTTTTTCATGTTTCTTGGTAGCAGTAAAGGTTAAAGAATTTTGCAGTTGCTAATGCAAAGGAGATCTACAATAATGCTACATTGTGCACTTAACATGCAGTAACTAGCTCAATCTCCTTACAGTGGAGTTTCTCTTAAGTGTCTAGAGTTCCTCCATCTATCATTCAAAAACACAGCCAGATCCTCTCTTCTCTTCTCATAGCTTTCCTTTCTTCTGCCAGCCCAGAGCTGATTAAAGGCATGCATTACACGTGTGACGGGGCAGTAGGGACAGTTAGTCACCTGTCAGGTAATAGAATCAAATTATTTAGAATAGTCCCTGTGGTGGGATATAGAGATTTCACATGTCCAGTAATAATGCATGGTATGGTGGGTCTCTGCGTTCTTAGAAGGAGAAAAGTGACATGATTTCCCCTCCTGTTGAAACAACCAATATTGCTGTCTCTTTCTCCTCAGCTCGGGGCAAACTTTGGGAGACTTCTGGGAAGGTGGCTAGCAAAAGTCAATAAGCACAGAAGTCTAGCTGTTGATTCCTGGTATAAACAATGACACTATTGCTGCTCATGCGGCTCTGGACACAAGAGAAATTGAATGAAAAATGAAAAGTAAGGCTATCCACAAAGCTGGCAGTTGTGTTATGGGTCAAAATAATGGTGAAAAAAGGAAACACAGGCATCTCAAGCGCTGCTTTAAAGTCCACAGGATATAGGTGTATCTTATAATGTCAGAATATCATTAGGTTATCCCTGGTAAAAGGATTCTTAATAAGGAAATACAATGTTGTTGAAATGTTAAAAACAAATAAGCCAAAACATGAAAAGTTATGTGTAATGAAAAGAATAGGGTCAACAAGCAGGCAAAAGCATCATTAAAGCCAAATTAAATAAAACCTGCAAACATTTATATAATGCAGCAATTTTATGCAGCAATACATTTCCACAAAAAATACCAATAAGCCATTTCTAGAGTTGCATCTTACTGCAGGGGAAGTACACCATCATTTTATACCATCCAAACTGAAAGTGCACACCTAAAGTTGATTAATTTGGGAGAATTTTTTACATTTTGACTTTTTGACCCCTGATCTAGACCCTCCAGGGATAACTTTTACAAATAATTCATCATAAAATGAAGAACAATATGGACAGTCTTTAGCATCCTTTTCTTTAGGCTGCAATATAGCAGAGAAATGGCTCTGCAAGATGTCTTTCTGCCTGCAGCCATCAGCACCAAAATCAACTCCTTGAAATATTCCCTTTAATGTAAATCATGACAAACCTGGATATTTGCACTCCATGGATTCAGCAGTATTTCACTGCTGTTTTACCAAACACCTGTGAGAGGAAGATTAAGTTAGGCAGCAATTGACCGTAATCAGACTGGCTGTTTGGGATGAAACAGTAGGACAATGCAGCTGAATCTGCGAAACGTGAATACTCAACTAGAGAGTAACTATAGCACCGTGAAAGTTTTAGCCTGCATGCCCAATAACCAAATGGTGACTTCATTTTCTATTTTCTACATCAAAGTGTGCCTCCTCTGTCTCCAAATGGCTGTATGCACAGCATCAAAGTCTGTCCCCTAACTGGCTGTCTGCACCACTGCACCTTGCTCCATTTGCCCTTCTTCATACCTATATGACATAGTGTGTCAGTTCAGGTATGTGTTCTTGTTCTTCCACCTTGTTCTCTCTGATGATGTTGGCCTCTCTATCTGGCTTGCTTTTAAAAATAGAAAAGTTGGCTACATTCCTGGCATAAGCTACTACTATATTCCTGAATGCTAGTTCACAGTGGTGATGCTGTTAAGTGATACTCTGCAAACACGTGATCAGTACAGTTATAACCCATAACAAAAAGAATAGGGGTTAAAGAAAAAATAGGAGTAGTATGAAAAAATTGGCACATAAAGGATATAATATAGCCCTGGCCTCAGAAGACATTGCAGCTACTAGTAAATGGGCTCAGATGTGAGTCATTGGTAGACCGTCATTTTAAAGCACAACAACTGAAGTTGCTAATTTAATGTTTCAGATTCACAGAATACTGTAGTACTGACACAAAAACA